CGAGGACACCCTGTGTCGTGGCCGTGTCTGTGCGAGCGGCTTCTCCGGCACAGGAGCCTCCCCACTTCGCTCCCGCTTCCCGCGTGGCCTTTGAAGCGAGACAGGGCGACGGGAGCGGCGCTCGTGCCGGCCCCTTGTCCCTTCGCCGGCCGGGCCTTCGCCRCGGCCTCTCGCCGTCCCCGTTTCCTCAGCATTTCGGGGCCTTCCTCATTAATCTTTGTATTTTTATTTTGACAAATGCATGTTTCCAGGAAGTTGCTGGGGTCAAAGCAGCATCTGTTGCTGGTTATTCGGGGGGACGCGGAGGGGCTGCGGGAGGGTTTCCAAAGCAGAGAGCTCGGGGAAGTGCTGCGGCTTCCCAGCCGGCAGCTGCCGATGGCAAGGGGCCTCGGACCGGCCCGCGCCTGGTTTGGGGAAAGGTGATCCGTTTTCCTYGTGCCCACCGAGCTCCCCTCCACCCAGCAGCTGGTGGCTCCATGTCCCCCAGTTGGGTCCCAGCACCTTTGCAGTTCCCCTGTTACAGCATCAGTGGGGACGTTAGTGGCCCTGGGGCTCCAGCGTGGGGCTGGGGAGGGGTCGCGCTGGCACTGCTGCCCCTGGGGACTGGTTTGGACCAAACYGGGCTTTTTTATAAATATATATGTATATATATATATCTTTTTTTTTCTTGCAAAACAACCCAAGGAGGATCCAGTGCCAAGGCGAGGGCCACAGAGGAGCCTTGGAGATTTATCGCTGCGGAAATACTTTCTCCAGCGGTGGCGGACGATTGCAGCAGGAACAATAGGGGATTCGCAACGTGAACAAAGCTGATTTCGCTTGCTGGTTTATCACCGCGCTTTCCTTGCGGAGCCTCCCTTCCTGGAAGTGGGAGATGCAGCTTCCCCCGGGCGCCGGGCCCCGTAATCAGCAGGAATGGCAATATCCTGGCTGGGAAGCGAGCTGTGAAACGCCGTCGCCCTGCGTGATTTATGAGCCGGYGGAGCGCGAGCCGCGCCGGGCGCGTGCAACATCCACCTATTCTTTGTGCCGCGGCCCGCGTCCCCGGGGAGCTGCTGGAGGAAGCGCGCGGGCCCAGCACATACGCGCCGGTTCCTTTAATTTAGTGCTTTTATTGCCGCCTCTTTCCGAGCGCCTCTTGCAGGCGCTCGCTGACACCGGGCACCGGCCGCCGGGCAGCGCGTCCCGCTCCGCTCCACAGTCCGTGCACCGCTATGCAGCGCTGCCGGTACCGGGGATATGCGATAATTATTCCAAGTGATCAGGTCTTAATTATGCAACACCGAGGATGATTACCGTGCGCCAAATTGGTGCCGAGTGCTTAGTTATGTATATGCCGAATTTAGTCTATACTATTATACCCAGTGGGTGGCCGCAGACAATCAGGAAGTAATTAGTTTTGCTGGAGGTTGCGGCTGGCTGGCGCGGCGCGGGGCGGCCCGCTGCGCTGCTCGGTGCCGCGGCCCCCGGTGCCGCGCGGCGCCTCGTGACGAGCTAATGAGCTGTCTGCGTGGCGGCCTCTAATTAGAGCTGTCGGTGCTCGTTGGGAGACGAGGCCGCGCGAGCCGCTCCGCCGGCAGCGCCTCCCTTTGTCGACGGCYCCGATGCTGCTGATGGCCACGGTGGCCGCGGCACCGGGTGCTGGTGGCCCTGAGGCCTGCAGGGCGCTGGGATGACAATGTGCAGGGGGAGCAGCACCTGCAAATACATGTCCCTCGAGATGTGCAGGGGAGCAGYGCCTGCAACGCGTGTCCCSATGGGATGTGCAGGGGGAGCAGCGCCTGCAACGCGTGTCCCAATGGGATGTGCAGGGGGAGCAGTGTCTGCAATGCCCGTCCCGATGGGATGTGCAGGGAGCAGCGCCTGCCTGCAATGCGCATCCTGATGGGATGTGCGCGGGCGCTTGCGGTGGAGCCGGCGGCCTCCGCATCCCACGTCCACATCCGTCATCGCAGGGACCCCGGCGGAGAGCGCCCAGCTCCCCCGCCACGCGGGGCTGGTCCCAAGTGCGGAGCAACTTTTACCTCCGTTACACAAAGGAAACTTTCCGGCTCGTTCTGTCGGAGATGCTCGCTCCGTGGGATGATTGGCAGACTGGAGAGCTGAGAAACTAAATTGTTTATACGCTAATGAATAGGAGCTTGATTGCAAGATCCTGTTTGGAAAATTATAGTGCTGAATTGAAGCTGTACAATTACATCCAAAATGCTGCATATTCATTTCATCTGCTTTGCATAGAGATTAACAAGCGAGCCCTGAAGCAGACTCTGAAATTAAAGCTAACACCAGATTTAGTCGCAGGTTACAAACTAACGGGCATTGTTTGGCGGCTTCAATCCGCACCACCTGCCTGCCGCGTGATTGCGAGCGCCGCAGCACACAGCCCAGGACAAAGTTTCTTCCCATGAAGGAAGCAGAATAAACGGGGCGCTCGTTCCTGCACRGAGCTGCATCCCGGCTGAGGGACGGCCGGGAGGTGCCGGAGGAGCCGCGGTTGGACCTGGCCGGGGCCCCTGTCCAGAAGCAGCAGCAGCTTCTTGGGATGGCAGGTGCTGGGGTAGGAGAGCTCTGGGCTGAGCCYGCGCTGGGGTCGCTGCCTGTGTCCTCCCCGGTTCCAGGCCGCGGTGGGTCCACGGGCTCATGCCCTGGGCTGGCGCTGGGTAGGAGATGGGAAGAGGCCTGTGCAGGTCCAGGGAGCCGGGTGTCCGGCGGGAGGTGGCCTTGGGTGCTCAGAGCGTGGCTCCTTGTTTGGGAGGTCTCAGCCCCAGCTGGGGGCCCTGGTGGCACCGTGTGAGATCCCACTGCGTGAGGGGCACTGGGACGGGCTGAGGGACCGCGGGGTGAGGGCCGCCCCGGTGCAGTGACTGCAGGGTGCTCTGCAGGACAAGGGCAGCCTGGGGCTGGGGCCGGGCCCTGGGCTGGGAAGGGGCCTCCGGCTGCGCCTGCTCCCACGGCCTGGGCGGCGCAGGGGAGAAGGCCCCGTCCCATGGGATGGGTTCTGGTGCCGCTGGCAGCGCCTGGCAGGGGACAGGGTGGCAGTGCTGGCCATTCGCAGCAGGGAYCCAGAATCAAAACCCACTGCGCCCGCTCTGCAAAGTCCAACACGTTTATTTGCTCTTCGGAAACCTCTCTCCAATCTGCGGTGCGTTTCCCTCGGATCCGCGCTTGCTCTTTCCTAGCAGGCCGGCTGCAGCCGGGAGCYGCGCTGGGCGGGCGCAGGGGCCCTCTGCCGTTGGCGCGCGGCTCCGCACAGCCCAGCTCAGCTCAGCCCAGCCCAGCCCAGCTCGGCACGGCTCCACTCGGCTCCATGCGGCTCCGCATGGCTCAGCCCGGCCCCGCTGCCTGCAGGGCTGCTGCTCCAGGGCCGCCCAGCTCCTTCCCCACTCGACCCTCCGACACTTCCGCGCACCCTCCCTCGCCCGTTGCCGCCCCCCGATCCCCGTGTCCTGCTCTCGCGCCGGGGCTGCGACGGGGTGTCCTCTTGCCCGGGGCTCCATGTCTTCCTTAAACCTTTCCTTTCTCTGTCCTTTCATGCTTCCAAGTCCGCTTCCAAGTCCAATTCCAAACCACACCGTAATGCCACAAATCCGAGCAAAAGAGCAGCGCTGCGCCCGGCAGCAGGGAGCTGCCCCGCCGGGAAAAGGCACCGCGTCCTTCCCCATGGCAGGGCTCTGTGCGAGGGGCCCAGCCGCGCGGGGCTGCCCTGSGACTTTGCAATGACCTCCATGTGGATCAAGGGCGCGTGGGGGGATTGGGATGGAGGGAAGGCAGCAATGCCCCCCAGCAGCCCTGGGCTCTGTGTGGTGTGAGCTGGGCCCGAGCAGGCCACGTCCTGCATGGGGCAGCACAGGGAGCTGCTTCCTGGGCCGGGCGCGCAGGGGCCGGCGCGGGCCGGCACAGTGAGGTGGACGGAGCAGCCGGGCCCACGCGCCAGCTAAGAGGGGACCCTGCTGGTCCCCAGAGCAGCATCCAGCTCCGGTTCGAGCAGCTCGTCCTCCGAGAAGCTGATGTGCAAGCGAGTGTTGTCTGTGGGGGAGAAGGGCAGCTCGCTGTCCGTGGGGCTGCCCCGCGCGGCCGGCTCCTTGCCCGGGGCCTCACCCGCTGCAGCGTCAGGGACGCTGGGCAGGGGGGACGTGTGTCCGGTGTCCCCCAGCCTGTCCTTGCTCAGGGCGTGCAGGGAGGGCCCCGCAGGGCCAAGCTCGGCGCTGGCGGCGGCGCTCCGGGCGCCAGGCCTCGTCTCGGGCTCCAGCGCGCTGAGCGGGCTGGCAGTGACRCTGGTAACGCTGCAGGGGCTGGGCAGGCTCACAAGGGCGCTGCTCTCGGGCTTGGCCTCCACCTCCAGGCTCGGGGAGGTCTTGCTGGACCTCTTGCGCAGGATGGGTGGCGGGGGGTTGATCTTGGGAATGGGCTGCTGCCTCCTGGGAAGCACAAGCAGAGAGAGGAGGGTGAGACACAAGCAAACCTGTGCAGAGGCTGCCCCAGCCTCTCCAAAAGGCAGGTGCCCTTTTGGGGTCCCACTAGTGCAACCTGTTGGTCTCATACCCTGGAGTGGTGGCACTAGAGCAATGCAGCATTGTCCCTCTTGCCACAGAGAGGCAGAAGCAGGGCAGGGAGTGACCCCGTCCCTGTCCCGTGGGGCTCTGATGCCCCCATCTGCCCTCTGGGGGTTCATTTGTTCTCATCCTGTGCACAGAGCAATTGCCCCTCGGCTGCAGCCCCTTGCCCACCCTCGAGGGCGCCGTGGGTCCCGCAGGCCGTGGAGCTGCGAGGGGGCAGCGTCTGCTCAGCGGTGCCCAGGCGGGTGCAGAGGTGTCAGGTCCCTACCTGTCCTCATCCGCCCTGCTGTCACTGTCGTCGGCCTTTTGCCAGCTGCCGCCATTGAGCAGAGCGAACTCGCTGACCTCGGAGCCCTCCACGCGCCGGCTGAAGCCGTCCTGCCCCTCCAGCACGGCCAGGCACTCGTCCTTGCCCTCGTAGCACGAGCCGCCCCTGCCCGCAGTCACGAGGTTGAGGTAGGAGTCCCCCAAGGCCGGGGCCGAGAGGGGGCCGGGGCCCACGGGGCTGCCCAGGACGCTGGCGGGGGTGGAGGTGGACGGCAGGTTGATGTCCAGGCTGTAGTGGTTCTTCAGGTTCAGCGACAGCGACTGCGCCAGGGACAGGTTCTGCAGGGAGCGGTCGACTGTGGGAGAGACGTGAGGGCGTGAGGGCCGGCGGCCTCGGCCCGGCCGCTCGCGGGGCTGCTCGCGGGGCGGCGGGAGCCGCCGGGCGCGCGCTCACCTGGCTGCCGCCGCTGCGCCTTCACCTCCAGCTCCTTGAGCTGCCTCACGAGCAGCGAGACGTGCTGCAGCAGGTCGCGGTTGGTGAGCAGCAGCTGCCGCACGCGCGCCTGCGCCTCGATGCGYGCCGCCGTCTCCGCCGCCAGCTGGTCCTTCAGCAGCTGCACCTGCGGGACGGGAGCTGCGGGCCCGGCCTGGCGCCCGCRGCCCGGCCCGGCGCAGCCCGTGSGCCCCGCGCAGCGCGAGGGGAACAGGGCCCGCAGGGGCTCTCACACACTGGGAATCTTGGGTGCATGAGGGCAGACGGGGCCTGGTGCAGCACCGGCACAGCCTCGCCAGGCCAGTGGGTGCATCAGCCAGTCCTCCTCCCCCTGCTTCTCCTCGCCCTTGCACCCCGAGCCCAGGGGTGCAGACCCAGCTGAGCTCCCAGGACCTCCCCCTGTGGCACAGGCAGCCCGGCCCTGCGCTGCCTTTCCGGGCGCTGCCAGGGAAGCAGAGGCCAGGAAGGGGCTGGGCCGCTGCCGAGGCCGCGCGGAGAGCAGGACGGTACCTGAGCCACGGCCACCTGCGTCTGCTGCTGCTGCTGCAGGAGCTGCTGCTGCAGGAGCTGCAGGCAGTGCTGAGAGGCCAGCGGGGTGATGGAGGCCGACGAGCAGGGGCTGCTCGGGCTGAGCAGCTGCTGGGAGCCGGCCGGGTACAGGGAGCAGTTCTCAGGCTCCTGGGCACAAAGAAACACCGTGAGAGTGCCCAGCTCGGCCTGGCATTCAGACCGGGCCTGTCCAGGAGCTCTGCCACCGATCCCAGCCTCGCTCTCCTGCTGCACAGAGGCTGGCTCTGCAAACTCATCCTTTGCGATCAATCTGCAGCTGGGCTCAGTGGACACATTATCCACCAACACCAGGMTTATCTCCCAGGGCAGAGCCAGGAAGGAAAACAGCAGTGCGGGGCTGAGCGTGTTCACGGGAGCTGGGAGGTGTCAGCCTGCTGCCAGGCAGGGCTGTCACCCTGCAGAGCCATCACCGGCGCTAAGGGACGGTCGGGTGAGTTTGTAGACARGTCACACGCTACAGGGACAGTGTTGGGGCTGTGATTCACGGCGATCCATGGGGAATCAGGGAGGTGTAAGATGGTGCAGAGTGCCTGAGGCTCTTCACCAAGCATGGTGCCTGAGGCCGGGGTGGGTTTGCATGTCCTGCGAGCCTGACCAGCAGTACAGGCTGTGGAAAAGAGGTACTGCCCTGGCCTGGCTGCAGAGCTTCCCAGGGCTGGGGCAGCAAGTGCTGGGTGCCAAGGAGGGAGGCGTCTGCAGTGGGGTTTCCATAAAAAGGGTCTGCTTTTCTCCTATGAGAAAGGGTCTTCTCTAAAGCTGTGAAAGAACAAACCATCCCTTGTCTAGCCCCCACAGACTAACCTGGCAGCTCTTGTCCTTGGAGACCTGTCCGGGTTTCAGCATGCTGAGCTCGGCCCTGGCAGCAGGCAGCTCTCCAGGCCCCCTCTCTGGCACACAGATCCCATCAGGGTCGATGCCAACCTCATCCACGTCCGTGCTCTTGGAGCCCTTCATCTGGTGGACTTCAGAGGAGATGGATAAAGTCAAYCCAAGTTCTCAAACACCCCAAAGAGCAGCAGCCAGCCGGGGCTCGGGGCAGGGCTGGCAGTGTAGGTGAAAGCTTAGACAGAAGAGCCAAGACTTCTTTCAAGTCTCTGCATGTGGCAGTGGGGCAGCAGCAAAGCAGGGTGCTAGTTGAGGGGCTGGCGCTGGGAAAGGCCCCTTAGCCTCCATGCTCGTGGTGCCACATGGGGAGGCCCCAGAGAGGTGCAGAAAGGCTGGAGAGGCACATGCAGGGCAGCAATGGCCACGCGCTCGGTCTGAAGGGACATGAAGCTTTTGCTGTCTCCAGAGCTGGCTCACAAAGAACGAGTGATTATGGCATTTCCCCGTCCCAAAGCCTCCCTGCCATTGCTGTTGAGGGAGAGATGTGCCCGAGACGTGCGGTGCTGCAAGTCACCTTCTAGCGGCTGCTCCTCCACAGACTTGTCGCTGGCGCCGTCCGCCTGCCCGTCGGCGTTCTGCAGCGCGTGCTGCAGGCTCAGCTTGTGGCAAACCTCAAAGGCCTGGCCCACCGTGCGCACCACCCGCATGGCCTGGCTCTGCAGAGAGACACCCATGGGCAGCAGCGCTCCCACCCCTCCTGCTCCCAGGGAAAACACGGAACCTTCCCCCTCCTCCTATGCCAGGGTGGCCCGGGGTTGCCCTTGGGATGTATCTCCATATGGATCAGTGTCTCCGTATGGATCAGTGCTCAGTGCAGCCTCTCCCCAGGCTAATTCCCACCACTCCTCCTCTGCCCAGGCAGCCTCCAGCACTGTCCAGCACTGTCAAGAGAGCAGGGGCACTACTCAGTTTGGATGTAGGCACTGGTCATACCGCATCCCCAGCTGCCTGCTCRTGCAGAGAGGTGCTCTTGTCTCTGTGTGCTCTGAGGTGAAGTGGCTGCACTGATCAGGCTCGTGTCTTCAGGGACACCTAGCATTAAAGCTGCATCGGCCTCCCCTGGGGACCTGGACTTGTTGACCCCAGTGCTTCCTTCCGTAGCACAAGATGAGAGGATCCTCCTGTGATCTCTCGCCCTTGTGAGACGTGGCCACAGCCAGGCAGCATCCTACCTTCTTTTTAGATTTGAAGACGTTGCACCTGAAGGAGTTGTTAGCACCATCCCTCGCAATGTAGCTGAAAATTTTCAGATCTTGGGAATCATGAGACACATAGAAGATTCTAGGCAAAAGAGACACAACGTGAAGTAATCACGCATCAGGATCTCTAACCTCAAACAACCTCTTGTGCTCACTGAACAAACCAAAGGATGGTTCAAAGTATCCAGAAGCCAGAGAAAGGAGRCCATGCATGGTGGATGGCCTTTCCTACAATTATCACGGCTGCTAATTGACACAGCACTTCTAGCTTGATGGAAACTATTCTGGTTTCTAATGTAGCTTCCGTGAAAAGCCTAAAAACTCTATAGTTTCAGAAAGCATGTGTCTATTTTTAGCCCTGACAATACATCTCTGCCTGCTGCAGTGTAGCAGAACTGGCTGTGCCGCTTCAGCAGCTGAAATTTTGCTGTGCCAGCCCAGGGACCCGTCACACCAGGGTGGGAGCCGCTGCCGCTGCCCCTGCTGCTGCAGCAGCGGGACAGGGGCTGTCCGGGCTGCTCTTCCCTGGCCTGCAGCTGAACTCCCCCTCCAGAGCCCCTGCTCCTCACAGCTGCAGCGATCAGCACGGGCCCATCCCCTCGCTCCTAACGAGCTGCACCAGCTCTGCCTCGGACCGGGACAGCACGGGGAGACACTCTGGACACTGTCAGAGGACACTGGAACCAGCCTGAGCAGGGACTCGGTGAACAGCACAGAGAATGGTCCTATTATAAATAGGCACAGCCCTATTTTTTTTAATGAGTGACAGATGATATAGCACAAAAGCCAGCTACTCTTAGACACATCTCCCACCAATGTTATATTTACTCTCTTACTGCTGGAGGTAACACCTTGAGCAGCTTCCCCGAAGACAAAGACAGACCTGCAGTGTTTGCCTAGTTCTGCCTCTGAGCGGAGACACTACAAGACATGTGTGGGTGAGGCTTTTGTCTCCAAAATACTTTGTGATCCTATAGTAGGGACTAGGGAAAGTTATTGTTGCTCTGTACAAGTTAATTCCCCAAAAAGACTTATTCCTAGAGTGAGGCCCTTCTTCAGAAGCACATGACACCCAGTGAGCCATGCATTGTAGCAAAACCAAGGGAGGCCGGGCTTCTGAGTCAGAATTAGAGGGTAATTCTGTCTGGAAGGGATCTCTGGAGGTCATCTAGTCCAGCCCCTGTTCAAAGCAGGGCCAACTTCAAAGTTAGAGCTAGTTCCGCCGCTAGATCAGCCTGCCAGTCTGTCTGTCTCTCAAATATGTATGAAAAGATTTCCCCTCTGCAGGAATTTTGCCACCTCGTTAATTTTTCCTGGGCCATTGGAGAAGCCAGGCTTCTTGGTGGTGAGAAATCAGCAAGCAGGATGAGGAAGACGCATTCCCTCTGCTATGGTTAATTACCTTGGGGCTAGCTGGTGTAAACCCCTGTATACCCGTGCATACCTGTACACAGGATCGTGCATCACCACCATTTTACTCTCGTCCCAGGTCCATTCCTTTCTCTGTAAGCAGAGGACAGAAGCAAAATTAAAATGTATCAGAGTAAATGAAACTGCACCGCTCTGACAGGCAGGATTGTGGAAAGCTTGCACTTGTCCTAAGCCAAAATCCAGGCTATAGTTTGACTGCATTAGCAAGGGCTGTGAACTCTGCATCTTAAATGAAAAAAAAAGATTTTTCTGATCATTTATCATATGTGATCATATGACCACTGCTTCCAGGGCTGAAAATTGGCCCTAAGATTAATCTGTAGCATCAAATATGCAGAAGAGAAACACATTTCAGGGAACAAGGCTCTGGGCTAGTGTTTTGGAGAGCTGGCTCTGCTGGCTTTGTGCAGGTGCAAACACGGAGGTACGAAGCACAGCCTACGTGAAGAGCTCAGCAGAGACAGCACACAATAGCCCATCAATACTGGCAAAAAACAAATAAAATAAAAGTCGCTTGTTCTGAAAGCCTTGCTTTTTTTTTTTTTTTTTGGCAGAAAAAAAACTCACTTCCCACTCTTTCTTTTCTCAGTAAGGTTTGCTGTTAGTTTGTTTGATGAAAAATGTAAAAAAATGACTTCTTTTTCTTCTGAAAATCCTGGGTGATTTTTAAGAAAAGGCCAGTTTGGGTTAGAAGTTTATTGTGATTATTCTGAGCAGCTCTAAGACATATTCAAAGCCTACATGTAAAATAGGTCTGAGGCAGCATTACAGAACCCCCACTAAGATGCAAACATGCAAATCCTGCCTGAGCAAAGCTTCCAATTGCCTCACTTTCCCGCTGATCTTTGGAGCACACTAAAAAATCTATTTTGTCTATACAAGGCACCGTCGGTAACCGAGGCCAGTAGCTCTCAATGCCCAGTCTCCATGTGACTCTTGCAAGGGCCGTGAGAATGTCCAGGGCTTGCCGTAACCTGGACTTTGGAAAGGCTCTTAATCCCCAAACACAGYGGTTTAATGGAATCCCAGACTTCATGTGAGCGGGATGAAAGCTTTTACCTGTCAGGGATGATTTAGGTGTGACAGATCTTACCCCCAGACATGGGCAGGGACTCCACGGTTTTGTCTCGCTCTGTGGGACACTTGCAGCTTCCCTGTGGCCGTGTGGCACAGCCGGCTGCCCCTCCGGGACTGCTCTGGCTCCCGGTTGCCCCACAGGTGCTGGAGGAATCTCACCTTCTGCTTCTTGCGCAGAATCACCTTCACGCCATCCACGGACACGATGATGCTCACCTTCTTCTTCTTAATGTTCTTGGCTTTGAACTCATACTGATAAGGAAAAACAATCCAGATTAGAAGAGATGCAGGACAGGGAGGACACTTGGGGCAGGAGCAGTCAAGCTGGGCTTGATCTTCCGGACTATCCTGACTTCAAGAGCCAGATTCTCCCCAGCCCTCAGCGGGAACTGGGCTCTTCTAAAATCTAGTTGTGACCGTCCTGCTCCTGCAGCCTCGGGCCACCCCGCAGGGGTGAGCAGCAGGAGGCTGCAGTGGGATGACCCTGGAGCACGGCAGGGAGAGCAGCACCCGGCAGGGACCCATCACGGCCCTGCCAAGAAGCGGGTGCTTGGGCGCAGGAAGGGTCTTCTGAAGCAGGCAGACCAAGTACTGTTGGACTAGATAAGGGCTGAGGGGACACGGCAGGGAGCTGTTAATTCAGATCCAGGGAGAACTTTCATGATCTGCTGGCATTTGAAGGGCCTTAAATAGCCCAGTGGGGCTCTGCACTGAAGGCGTAGCTGGAGAGACGGTGCCTGCAGCAAAAGCTGAGCAGTGAATTACGGCACCTCTAGTGTCCTCGTGTTGCTGCACTGCAGTGCTTGGGGAATGTAAGTTCACTCAGGAACTGCAAGGAGGGCCAGATGGGTGGCAATAATGCAATTATATCTTAGTCATTTACATAATCACATTAACCTCGGTGGGCTCAACACCTCTGGAAAAAAAATCCAGCTCCTTATCTGCAGGTGCCTGCAGTCTGAACTCACCTCCATCGGTGATAAAAATTAAACTGCCAGATTTTAAATGCTGCTTTTGATGGTAGCTAAGAAGCACGACCGAGGCCTCCCGCTCTGGAGACCTGTATTTACTTTGCTGATCCTTTCTGGCCTGTGTCAGGCCAGTTTCCACATACAGTGTTTTGATACTCTTTGTATTCTCCATCTGAAATCCAGCCCCCTGAACTCATTCTACATTCAGTCCAGTTATTAACAAAAACAGATACCATTAAAACAGGTTGCTTTTTTTTCCTCCTAAAAGCTAAGGACTTGCTGCTGAGCTGCAGCTTGAAGCATCATGAGCCACAAGAGCAGAGAAAACCTCCACAAAATGCACTGCAGCCCCTGAGCAGGGAACTGCTGCCTTGCACCAGCCTGTGGGATCAACCCGGCTTCCCTGGGGATCAGTCCAGATCCCAGGCTGCGGGGCTTGGCGCTTGCCTTTCCTGAGCTCAGGTCGTGGCCGCACACCTTGCAGGTGGCCCCTCGCCTGGACAGCTCTGCCTCCAAAAGAGCTCTGTTTATTCATTCATCTCTCTTTATGTACACGCGGCTGGGAAAACACTAGCCAAGCTTTCCAGGAAAGAGTGAGCCATACAGCGTATTTTCCCCCTGCACCAACAGGGGTGCCATTGCATCCAGACAAAGCTCTGCAGTGAGCCGTTAAGCAAAGCCCAAGCCTGGGTTTTGCTGCGGAGCTTTCTCCCCCTSTCCAGGGCAGGAGCGGTGGCCGTGCGCGCCGGCACTGCCGCGGGATGTCGCTCGGAGGAAGGGAGCTGCTGGGGCTGCGGGGCCGCCGCCGCAGCGATGCCCTCTCCGCTCCGCTCTGCTCCGCACGTAGGCAGCGCCGGGATGCAGCTCCCGTCCTCTAATTGCTGCCTTTCAAGCAGGAACCAGTGGGGTCATGTTCTAATTAATTGGGGTTTACGTAAGGACAAAAAAGCAAGMGAAAAAACACACTGCAAGGTAGCACGTTTATCTCCTATAATGCTCAATGTTTGTGTTAGCGCACAAACTAACACACATGAACACAAGGCTCCCTGCTTAACCTTGAACCATCGTCAGAGAGCAAAGGCTGCTCACTGAATGTTTTTTCTTATTGCATTAATGCTTTTTTTGCTCCACATTTGTCAAGGTTACGGACAATGCAAAACCCACAGAGTCATGTTCCTTTCCTGTGCTGCCTCCCAAGATCCGATATTATTCCCCGCTGGTTGTGCTGTCCTCTGCTGGAAATCCTTTTGGATGTTAAAATATCTGGAGTTCCCCCTTTAAGAGCACAGTCAGTGGCAAACCTGACAATTTCTTAACTATGGAGACAAGATGGGCTGATTTAAAAGAAATGCAGGTCATAAAAGGGCATTACATCTAATTTAATTTAGCAACTTCATTAATCTCCATATTAATTCTATTTCTGATGTGTCTGACCTGGAATACTTTCTGTGTGTGCTTTTAAAATCCTATGTTAACTCTGCCTTTCAGATTGGTCCCACACACTGTTGGCATGTAATATTAACTTCCCCGAGAGCTAAAAACTGTATGACTAGAAATGTTAATGGAGCTGTGTAATGCATATTTCATCTCATAATTCCAGCCAAGCAGATATAAATTACACATGCAGTTACCAGCTTCCATCTGCTGATGAAAGAGATGGGCTAATGCACATTTGAAATCATATGCAGTTTCCAGCACTAAGAACAACTTGCATGAATAGAGATATTCAGGGAAGCAATTCTTAATGTGATTAATTACTACAGGTATCAGGGCTTTCATTATGTAAATGAAAACTGTCATAAAACAGAGAGTCTGCAAGTCTTAGAAAGAGCCTCAGTTTCAGGAAAATGCATCTTTCTCATTAACAAAGAGCAGAGGAGCCAGATTGAGAGCAGTGAGAGCCAGGACACACCGAGTGCCGCAGTTTGAAATGGGGTTTGCTGCTGCATGGCATAAATTGTGTCAAGGGAAATTGAGGCAGAGACCGTCTAGATCTTTGAAACAGGAACACACCCGGGTTCACAAATGCTGCTGGGTCAGCACTTTGTTTGCATGCCCAAAGAAAGATGCCACAAGCTTGGAAACGGACCTGTTTTCTCCTGCAGCTGCAAGTACTCTGCTGCCCAGCCCCGTCCTCCCTTCTCCCCTGGCCCCTGGTCTGGTGGGACAGCAAGATGTTTGAGCCCATAAACAGCCCTACAGCAACAAGCAGCTCCGGCCCTTTCCCAAACCTTCCTCCCAGGCGGACGCAGGGCGGCAATGAGGCAATGCGGAGGTGGGAATGTGCTCCGTCCTGCTCCCTGACGTGGCCACTCCAGCAGCGTCCCGCCAGCAGGATGTGACGGGTCCACGCGGCGGCTCTGCGCTGGCACATGGCAGCGCATGACACACACCTGATGTGAGCGGCGTGGGGAGGCGTCTCTTCCTCCCACTGCAACCTCTGACGCTCCACACGCAGCATCTGAGGCACTAACGCTGTGATGAAGCCAAGAGCTTCCAGTTCAGGAATGTTATTAAATTCAAACCAAACCAACCCTCCATGGCATGAGGACGCGGTGTTACTCAACTTCTCTTCGAATTATTGATGCTTGGAGTGCTGCTGCTTGGAAATGMTGCTGCAGAAAGCTCGGGACTTTCTTCTCAGCCAGGGCAGATTACTAGAGCTCTGTTTGCCTCCCAGGCCTGACAAATGAGTCCTGTCAGTTCCCATACCCTTTGGGCTGCGGACTGCAGCCCAGCCCCAAATTGCCCTGCGAGCGGCCACGTCCCCTTCTGCATCGCACCTTCCAGTGACAGCACACGCAGCGAGGCGCCTTTTCCCAGCGCCTTTTCCCAGGTCGGCTACGGCCCATGCAGCCCCGCTCAAGYGCTCACCGGGCACCGGCCTTCCCGTGGTTTGTCCCGGGAAGCGCCTGCCTGAATCCTGGGAACTCGGCGTGCCCGCCGGGCCGCAAGGCGCAGGGAGCGGCGGATGTGGCTGGGCACAGTGCAGGGCTGTGCGCCAGGAACTGGGCAACTCGGAAACAAAGCGGCGCAGGAAGCGGCTGGCTCCAGGAGCGCACCTCCTGCCCAGTGGAAAAATGAGAATTTATGATCCTTGGAAACATAAAACTGTTCAGTGGAAAGTAGAAAGCGAGTGGGGAGCACAATWGACGAGAAGAATGCTGGCAAAATACCCAAAGCCTTTTTTTCTCATTCAAATTAGCTCCTTGCACCATCCAACAAATTCCCCACGGATACCACAACCCGTCCCCCCACGGTGCTCCGAAGGGAGCTGGGAGCTATTGCAGCCCCGCGGGGTCCCTGGGACTCCCGGGAAAGGCGGCAGCTCTTTATTGCAGTGCGTTATGTCTGCAGCCCCGAGCGGGGACGCTGCTGGTCGCCGGCAGGGACCGGGAGGGCAGGGCCCGGGTGCCGGCAGCCCCGACACTCGGCCAGGTGCTGGGAAGGGCTACGGGGCCGTACGTGCGTGTAGGGCCTCGGTGAGCACAGGCTTCCCCGGAGCCCAGCGATCCTTTTCTCCCCACCTCTAATTCTATGCAGGAGGAGGCTGCCATGGTCAGGGCATGTCACCCTCTCCATCCCCTACCTAAGCRTAACCTCCAGCTCACACCTCCCTGGGCGGTTAAAGCCACATTCCCACCGCAAGTGCCCAACAACCGGACTAACAGCGTTCCTGCAGAGCTGGTGAGCAGCTTCCCACCCACCACATTGCAGATGCAGGAGGAGGTATTTCCTGGCGGTTAAATGGGGCCAGGATTCCCGGCACTGGACAGGGCACAGAGTCCTCTCCCGTCCCAGCCATCCCATGCARGTAGCCCAGGAGAGGTGAGTGGCCGAGACCGRCTCCACCTGCGCCGTGGCTCCTGCTGGGCTGGGAGCCCGGCCGCAGCGCTGGGGCRGCCGCCRCTCGGGAGCAGGAGCTGGGGACCACCCGTCACACGGGGTGATGAAAGCAGGGACAGGAAAAGCCGGTCCACAAGCTGCACATTTCCCTGACACGTATCACGCTGACACATATCACCCTGGCACGCTAGCCCGAGGGGAGGGCGCCCGCAGGCTTGTTGAAGCCAACCGGAGCACCGCGATTCCCAGCACCGGGCACTAGCGAGGGGACCCCCGATCCTCCCGCCACACAGGGCCCTTCTGGGCACTCTTTGGAGCAGGGTGCAGAGCTAAGAGCTTGGCAGCCCACTGCCCAGACCCATGGCCACCTGATTTCACACAGACTTAGGCTGCTGCTTTCCAGCAGGACACCACGCACCTAGTCCCAAGGCCCTGAAGCACCACCAGGCCTTAACGGCCCGAGCAGCCTCAGCTGGGGTCTCCACCCGCAGCCCTGCCCATCATCCTGACTCCATTKAAGCTCAGTCCTGAGCATTCCCTCCTTTCCAAGCCATGCTGTAGGAGTGCTGGCCTCCAGCTGTGGCTCCCTGTGGGCACTGACCTGTGGCTGGGCTCCCTGCCCTGACTTTGGACTCGTCCCATCAGCAGAGACCTGCCCAGTAATTAGAGGACTGCGTGTGACCCTAGTTGCCCTCACCAGCTCAGGTCCTGCCCTGTAGATTGGCTTCCTGCCTTGTCCTTGGACCTGCTTCACCACCGGGGACTTGCCTGATCCGACTCTTGGTCAAAGCCGACCACCACGTCCAGGTCTGCGCTGCTCAGGTACTACGGGCTGGGGGCTGTTATTATGCCTGGCTTCCAGCCCCTCTCTGCTTCGGGAGCACCAGCCCTCGCTGCTCCCTGAACCCAGGGAAGAGTGTGAGTCCCTGCACCCCCTTGGTGCCCATGGAGATGCGGAAGCACCTCGTTAGTGAGGAGGCAGTTGGCCAAACACCTTGTTAATGGTCAAACTCAGTAGTCAAGCTCTTGAAACAGCTAGAGATGAATCACGCTGCAGAGTGAGAAGGGGGAGAGAGTTCAAGGCAGTGGAGAGAACTGAAAGATTCTGAAATAAGCTAAGAAAATATTTGCCTTTCTGAAGTCTCTAATTTGGCACTGTCAGCAATATTTTAATTGGCTTAATCTGCAGGTTTTTTGGAGCTGTGCCCCACTGCCCTGCAGCCATCCTGAGTGTTCTCTAGCCACACTCAGCTTGGTCTCAGGCTTAGATCACAAATGCAGCTCTCAAGTTGCTCCTTGGAAGTTGCCTGTAAATGGAAGCGGGAGCGGGAGCTCGGCCGAGCTCCTCTTGGTGCAGGCGCTGGCCGCGATTCAGAGCGCTGCAGGGGGACGAGCCTTTTTTGTCTCCTTTTGGGATGTTCTTTTGGGGACAGAGGCTGCTGAAAGAGGCAACAAAAGGCATGTTGGGCACGTCTGGCCCGTGCCTCATGTTAATTCCTATTTTGGYTTTGGAGACTCTCTCCAGGGCGATGTACATGAGTGCAACCACAGTATTGCTTAGGGTCTAACAAAAAGAAAATCCCTTAGGAAGCAGCATGAGTGTCCACCCTCCTACCAGCCCTTCTGGAGGCCACAGAGAGGCAGTTTGTGGGCAATGAGACCAACCTGCAGATCCAGGTCTTCCAGAAACTCCCTGCAACAGCTTCAGGGCTCCAACTGCATTAAAATGAAGCCCTGCCAGGCTGCTTCAGCTCAAAGACCTTGTGTACTCCCTGTGCCCTCGGAGACATCCTGCCTGCTATTGTCACAGACTTCTTTTGGGTGACTTGGTGGAGTGAAAGCTCATGGAGAATTTGAGGTAGATAAGCCTGGGAGGTGCTGTTTTGGGAAAAACTGTTCCTTTCCAGCAAAGTATCACTGGAACTTTCTGCTTTTATAAGTATTCAAAACAATGAGCACTGGGAGTTGGCTAATCCGAAGACCTTTCCCTGAAACAGTTATTTGTTTTTCTTTCTTTTGGCCATGAGAACTGAACTATGGCTTTTCTGAGMTGGTAAATGTTAATTAGAGCTTAAACTTGGGAAACTGAGGCATGGGGTGTGGCTCACTGATCAAAAATTCACCTGGTGGGTCAAGGCAGCAGGTAGCTGAAATCTGGAGTTTCTGGCATCTGCTCCTGGTGAGGGTTACACATGCTCATAGCATGGCATGTATAAAYCTGTGAGCCTCAGAAGGGCTGCTGTCCCCAAGGCTGATCCATGAGCTGCTTCTGGCATCCAAAGGAGCTCAAGACCCCATCCTGCGCTGGTGAGAAGGGCCCTATGGCTTTGAGAGCCTATTTACAGCATAGTAGATTCACAGAGACATATTAAACTGTGACACAACATGAGGAAAAAATGCAAAGTGAGGCCTGCTCCTTGGCTGAGAGGTGTGTATACTGAGTAAAGGTCTGCCTGATGCCCCCTATCAGTCAATTGTACTTGCTGGCCTAAAAAACAGGCTGCCAAGAGGGCTGCCCAAGCGGAGGCCACCCCGCTGAGGGATCTGCAGTGAGCTGTGCTTCAGTGCAGCCACCCAATCTGCAGGTGGGCTGGCGAMGGATACAGCTGGTGTTTAGGTGATGTGGGGCCAGTCACCGGAGCGTGGAGCCAGGCRAGCTGCCCTGGGGGTACCGGAGCGCCTGTGCGATGGGAGCCGAGGTGTGGGCAAGGGCTCTTGTTGCAGACTGCACCTTGGAAAGGCAGCAGACTGCTCTGGGACAAAACTCCTCGCCGCCTTAGAAAGGCTGGGATAAAGGCAGCCTTTTCATCTGCGCTGCAGAGATCCTGTGATGCTGCTGGGCTCCGTCCTGGGACACAGGCAGCCTCACGCCCTGGCAAGGTGACATCATCTGGCCTTTGGTGCCTCGCTGACAAAAGCACCATTGTGTGGCTGCCACTTGCCACAGCCCCCTGCTGTCCCCAGGTTTAATGGGGAGCTTTCCCACACGCAGCCACCCTGGGCAGGCCCTGGCTGCTCGCAGGGAAGCTCGGTCCTGTTCCCTCCCCACCTCCACTCCCTTGGCAGCGGAAAACAAATCACCTTTTCTGCCTGATCCGTGTGCAAGGAGAGGCTGGGAACGGGAGCAGGGCTCTGTGCATGCCCGAATCGGGCTGCTGGAGGCAGCAGGTTGGGGTTGCTGAACACCAGGGCAGCCGTGGCTGCTGTGCAGAGCCTCACCGTGCACCTCCAGCCCGGTGCTGGTGCCGAGTCCTCGCGGGCAGAGCCTCTCACGTGTGCCGTGCTGCTGCTCCCTCTCGCAACGCAGAGGGAAGCTTAGGTGATTAATTAGTTTCAGTAATGAAGTAATGTCTTGGGAATCCCTGCCCCCCACTCCAGTCTCACGTACCAGGCACTGAGTGCACACGAACAGGAAAATGGTTCCCTACCTCAAAGAGCTGCTAGATTAGGCAGAAAGTGCTAATTGCATTATAAGCAGGTCAGAGTCACCTGAAATAACCTTGGAAGCAAAATTGCAACTAATACTCTGTGACATCTTTAATTCTGTATTTCTTTGCAAACAGCAATGTYAAGAGGCCAAAGCAGCAGGTCCTGTTGGTTTCTGTGCACATTTCATATCCTAGTTACCTTTTGGYCTGGTATGTAGGATAATAGGCAAGTTAGAGGATTTATTTGCAACTTTGTTCATAAATTTTCGAATAACAAAGCTCAGATGAGCAGGAGCCAGGACTCTGCAGCAGGCACAGAGCTCCATGGAAAAGCCTCAGACCCCCTGCACGGCTGTGGGAAGGTAACTGGGTATTTTGTGCATTGACATTTTTTTCTGTCCACAAAGCAAGGCGACTAATTTTCTACTTCATTCAGTCCACTGTCCTGGTTACAGCTYGTCTCCTGCCAAGCGGCAGTTGCACAGCACCTAGCAGACAGGGCCCAGGCCATGAAATACTGCCTGGACAAATACACGAGCAGGGAGCAACTGAGGGTTGCTGCTGCTTGCTCCAAAGCAAGCATTGTTAGAGCATTCAGTCCCCCCTGCTCCCTGTGAGCTTGCRGGTCTGTTTGCGAGGTGACACGTTACTGAGATGTAAAAGCCATGGGGAGGGAGATCGGAGGAGCAGGGAAGACGTTCGTTCCTGGAGGGAAACGGGAGAGGAGCGGATGTTCCTGGAGGCCGGGGAGAAGGGGCAAGGGCAGGGACAGTGGTGATTAGCAGGCTGCTCTGCTGTCTCTGGGMGCGGGTGTTTATTGCTTGTTCAGAGACAGAATATACATTAAAAGCCTGTTTTTTATCCTTCCGTGGTTTTTTGCAGACGTGTTCCTGGAGGTTGTTCCTCCAGGAGCGTGTGACTGCAGGAGCAGGCAGGACCCACACGCTGCTGCGAGAGCTGCCGGGCCAGGACGGAGACCTGCAGGGGTTCAGCCCATGCCCTGGCCTGGGGACGGGCACGGCTCCTCGTCTGGCTGCCACGCTCTCAGRGAGGCACATGCCAGGATCTCAGGCCTCTGAATAATGCAGCGCTTCCCTGCGTTTATGTAACAGTGCTATTTTAGTGGAGGCAGCAAGACAGAGTGTGGCAAGCAGAAGCTATGGCAGCGAGTGAGTGAGGCTGGAGGAGTCGCACGGGCTGCAGCAGCAGTGAGCGGAGGACACGGTCACCGCTCCTGCGGCTCCACGACACCGCAGCCCGAGAACATTCAAGGAGGAAGAAGAAAGTCTTGTCTGCTCCACCAGACCTGACCCAGGCTGGGTCCCAGGCACCAGCTGGGCTGGTTCCTTCCAGCTCTGGTCAGGAGAAACAGGCTGGTTGCAGCCCCATCCTTAAAGCTGCTGTGGTCGCAGCATGGCAGGGGAGAGTGATCCTGGGCTAGCCCAGAGGAGCAGCAGAAACCTCATCTGCTCCAAAGAAAAGGTTGTGAAGCTACATCTGTATGGCTCAAAGTCTGCAGGGAGGGCCTGTTCTCTGGCTCCTAACTCACTATCAAGCATCATGGGTGTGCTGGGTGCTCTGTACCTCATGGCTTTCCCTGGCTACCTGGTGGAGGAATTTGCGTTTTCTTTGAATATCTGCACCAGAGAGGAATTTGGACTAGGCATCTCTGCTTTTCAGCTGGCAGAATTCAAGCTAGAATGAAAAACTGTTCTACATTTGAATTCAGAAACAGTATTTGATTACAAGCTAGACCAGAATGAAAATGTGAGGGGTGCAGAGCTTCTCCGTGTGCTGCTGTTTGCAGGCTCTGTTTCATGCCTCATTTGCTAGGTGCAATCAGGCTTCGTTCTCTATGCTCATGACAGAGAGCCCTTTGCTAGCTCAAGCTCTGGGTGCAGCTGAACCATTTGACTTCTCAATGCCAGTTACCTCCCTAAACATGCTTGCTACGTATTGATGGGAGGCAGCGCATGCTAACACAAAATCTGCCTCATTGCCAGGCAAGGAGACTTTTCTGTCAGCATGCAGTGCCTCTGCTTCTGAAATAGTCTGCCTCCTTAGTGAAAATCAGCAGAAAGTCAGATGTCGTGTTCAGATGTGGTCTGCAAGAGCCAGGAGCACCCGTGCAGCCTGCGGGGACCGCATCGCGCTCGGATGGCGAGYGGTCGGCCCCGAGCAGCGCTTCCTGCCCTGGTCTGGGGCTTGCACACAAGGACGCAGGACTTGCAGGAGGCCAGCGTGAGAAGTGGCAATGTTAGAAGGACAAAGTGTTCCAGGGCTGCAAGTTTAGCTCAATAATCATTAACTGCATAAGCRCAGGCTGCAGCAGGACTGAACTGGCCGGAGGCTGCTCAGCATTGCTGAACCATAGCACTCCCAGAGCTGCTGGTGGCTCTGGTGGCCACAGGGCACAGCAAGTGCCCTGACCAGTGCTCCTGGCCTGCTGCAYGAGAGAAAGCAGCCTGTGCTTTTGTGGAGTCCCACGAATTTCTCAGGAATGAGTTTTCAGGAGTACCTGAAGATTAAGCTGGGCGTTAAGCAGGGAGCTGCGCGGYTGGCAAGCAGCTTCCTGGGGCAGCTCGCCTGGGAATCCTGGCACAAACCTCCGGGAGGCTGCGGTCAGCACCGAGCAGCAGCTAGGCCAGAGCTACCGAGATGTTCACATGCCTGAACACGGCCTGTGCTCGTACTCTCCGGGAGCCACCACATCTGGTCTGCCCATCCCGCTGCATCGAACTTGAAGTCACTCTGCTCTTCATGACAAAAAGGAAGAGCTTATTTTTGGAAAGAAGACTCTGGAGGGCAGACAGTCTGGGACCCCTGGCTGAGCACTAGACTTGGCTTTGCAGCTAGCACAGTGATGCAGGGCCGTGACACCCTCTGCAATGCGGGAGGCTGCAGCCGCCTTTCCAAGAGCACCCACTCGGGGCTGGCATTTAGTCACCGGCAGCAGGGGAGTGACAGAAGGATGGAGGAAGGGGGAAGTGACCCAGGTGCCCTCAATACAATCAAGCAGTTACCAATTAGTCCGAACAACCCATCTGGTCCAGGGAAAGGCTGTTCAGAGGATGTCTAATCACTGYGACAGCAGAGGAAGCAAATGATGGTGTGAGGCCTTTGAAAAACCTCCACTCCATCATCAAGGTGTCCCTCCCCATAGGGATTCATTCWGGATTTTTATTCTGTAGTTTTATCAGAGAGTTATTTGGTCCAAACATGAAGTAGCTTGTCAGAGTATTATGCTAAGCAGCACGGATTTTGCTTGCCTTCAGGCCTCATTTAGTACACAGCAAAAGCAAAGCGAAGAAAGCAAGCACCAAATTGAGCTCTTGTTAGCAAATCTTATTTTGTTAGGCTAAATTTTGCTTTGTGGTCACGGTCCCTCAGGGCCTCCTTTCGTCAGAACAGTGATCCATAAAGTACAAAAGGCTCTCGCGCTCGGCAGGATCCAAGAGTGCCTGTCGTGGTGGTGCCAGGCACCCTTCTCCCCTGCTGGGGGCAGATACTCCTGCCTTCAGCACCAGAAGGGCTGAGGTGAAAGCCCTAGGTTAGCACCATAGCTGCAAGCTGATTTTCTCTGCATTTAGACAGCTTCACCCCTGGGGCAGGTTTAGGTTTGCATTTTTTTCACAGGCTGCTGCACTTCGTTGCTGCCCCTGAAACACATCAAACTGCTGTGGATTCAGGATGTCCTTGGGGAGAGCGGGAGGGAGCCGGTGGCAGATCCACGAGGACAGGGGCTCTGCTCTGCCGGCGTGGGCGCTTCCCCGGGGCCAGTCCCGCTCTCCTGCCCCTGCCCACGCGGGGGTTGCTGGGGTTAAGGCACCTTGGGCACCAGCAAATAAACACGTTCACTACCACCCYGGCTGCCATCTCGGTTTGGTTTTACCAGACACCAAGAAAGCTGAAGCTTTGAGTCAGAGCTCATTGTTCTATACCATAATGTAATTCACAATCCATTATGTTTCGTCCCTTTAGGACTCTACAGCTAGCAACATAATTGTTGAAAAAGTTACTTTATTTGAAAATAGATAAAAGCTTTGCATAGATTTCATATGCTGATATTTTAGCCAGTGAATTCAAACGCTTCTCTAATACAAGAATAATACTATTAAAGCCACTTTATGATAAAAAGGTACCTGCCTCATTGCCAAGATTTAACATCAGACAAGCAGCTCTGCCTTGTTCTATTTAGCACTAACATTTTAATTTAGCTTTCATCTGCTTAACTGCTGCTTTTATTAGTCTTTGACTAAACTCTAATCCATCACAACTCTTATGCAAAACAATACCAATATGTCTCACTAGTTCCACCTCCTCCTTGGAGAAGCCTCCCAGTCTTCAGCACTGCAAGGCAAGCATTAAAAGGTCACCGCTGCTTAGAGATGACACGTTTCACTGGCTGATCCCTCCATCCATCTGCTGTCAATCATACGTAGCTTGCTCGCTGAACACGATAGAAGAACTGAGGCATCTATAATCACTGCTCACTTCTGAATAACTAGGTCAGAGCACGTGGCTGCAGGAGAAGCTCCAAGCTGTCTCCTGTTACAGTGGCGTGTCTTTGTTGCTAAACTGGTCCCCACTCATCTCTGCTCAGAAGTTATGTGGCAAAAGACAACTGTAATCACTGTTCTGTGGCAGGAAGTCCGAGGATGATTTTGGACTGAAGATGAGCAGACTGGAAATCTGCATGGGATTCCAGGAGAGGTGGCTCTACCGCCCTGCACAAGGCTCCCGAGCAGTGAGCAGAGCAAGGCTCCCGACACCATCTACAAGGTGTTTATTCCTCTCCCACTCAAGTAGAACAAGTAGAGCAGAGCCAGCTCTCCATCACAACCACACAATCCTGCTTGGAAACACTGTGCATGTGTTAAGAGCTGCTTCCCTTTGCATTGTGGCAGTATGGAGAACAGAGATTAGATAAAACAAGTTTGCATTGGCTTGAGACATAGCAGACCCCATCCTTCTCTAAAAGCAGCTTCCACGTTTTTAAAGCCATTTCATCAATTTATGAAAGTTACATTTGCTTAAGGGCCAGTAAAAGGGCACACGTATGAGATGTGGCCGAACTTGCTGAGCCACRGACTGGAGGCCACGTCTAGAGACTGCCTAAAGGGTGGCTCTGGCCCCACCACCAACGGGGTCCTACTCCCACCTCCCAAAGCTCTGCTTGCCCCTTCCTAGCCCCTTTACAGCATGGGACTTCTGGGAGACTCGGTCCCATCGGGAGCTTTGGCTATTCCCACTGCTGCAAGGCAGACTGGGAAAGGAGAAGGCTATAAAAGCTGCTGGTGCAGAGCTGCTCCCTGAGGTTGCAAGGGAGTATCTCAGCTGAGGCYACTCATTGCCAGGTGGTGGGGACTGGCCAAGCCCCCACTGCAGAGCTTGCCGGCAGGAGCCCAGCGCTGCCCTGCTGCAGAAAGGTAAGGTCTGCAACGTGCTTGTCACCTGCTCCCGTGTCCCGCATGTCTGCTAGGTCTGTCACCTCCTCTGCGAGCAGGGAAGAGGCTCTGGGAACCAAACTCTGGGGGTGTTTGTGGTGTGAAGCGGCTTTTTTTAGTAGAGAGGGGTACTGAAAAACAGAAGCTTCAGCATCAGCTAAGCTTGCTAAACCCAATAACTAATCCTTGACAAGGGAGAAGGCAAGAAAGAAAACATGTTGAGGGAGCTGCCATGGTGATGGTTCCAGTGATGGAGCAAGAGGAAGGGAAGCAAAATCCCCTGTGATATGAAACCAGGCCAGTGTGTGTGTTGTAGCAGAGCCTCCTGCAGAGCTGGGGTCCACATGGGAATCACATACTTCAGGCTGAGGTCCTCTGTCTCACATCAGGATGTGGTCCCCTTGGTAGGAGCTGTCCGGCCCTTCTGGGGAGCAGCAGGAGCCCTGTGCTCCCCAGTGGGCTCCCTGGGCACCAGACTGCTGCAGTAGCAACAAGTAGGGGAAAACAAACTAATGAGGCATTAGGGCTAAACTTAGCTGCAATTAACACTTAATTACCATCCTGAAAACACTCACTGTATTCTGCCAGGGCCTGGAAAGGTAAAAGCAATTAGCTTAATGTTGTGTGATAGAAAGCTTAAACTGCTTTGATTCCCTGTCACTGTGTATGTGAAGGTCCCTGCTGGGGTTGCAGCCTCTGCTTGGGAAGCTTGTCCGTGGCCTTGGCACGCAYAGACAGTGTGAAGCAGCCAGAGCCCTTCCCAGGCTCTGCCCTGCACAACAGCCAGTACTGACACTAGACCTGCACAAGTACCGGGCAAGTGTGTGCACGTTCATGTGTGCTGGGTTTGGACACCCACAGCCACTCCTCTCCCCTGCAGGCTATCGCCTCAATCTCATGTGTATGAGTGTAAGCAATCCTTGCCAGGCCTCCAGAGAGGAGGGGAAGGCATCCTAGAGAAATACATATATATATTTAGTCTCTCGGAGTATGTGCTGGAGAGAATATATTGTCTTTTGGTGATGAGGAGAGAGAAGGAGGAGGRCAAATGTACCGGCTTGGTGAAACTTGGCTATGTGAGGTCCTCCTGTCTTTGTGTGAGGTCTGTTCTCTGCCTAYGTGCCTGCTGATTTAAATGCATAATCTCAGCATTGGACCATCTTTGACAGTGCCGTTCCTCGCGTGGTGCAGCGAATGTCACCGAGTGTGTGATGACAATATTTATTTAAAGGCCTTGAGGAAACTGCCATGGCCCARTTCTGCTCTCGCACAGCATCCAGAACGTGTGACACTTTAACCAAGCTATACACAGAGCGTTTTCCTATCAGCAGTGCTCTTGACTGCTCATAGTGTGCTAGCCACTTGAAGCAGACTTCTAAGATTGCTTGTGCTTTAAACTCTAACCATGCAATAGCAGTAATCTATTTTTCTCACACATTCTTGTGAATGAAAGGAATGTATAGGGTATTCTGAGATCAGGCAGAGTCCACACCAGCAGCTTGAAGACAGCTGGAATATTTTAAGACATTAGCATTGTTTTCCTTCATGGCCCAGGGCTGTCATTAGCTGAGCACTTGGACGCTCTCCTAAAGAGGCTGAAAGGAAGAGCCCTGCAGGAACTGGAGCAGCACAAGCTCCCATCCAACACCACCGCATCTTGGCATGCAGCTGCACAGGGAGTCTGCCTAAGAAAACCAAGGGGAGCACATCCCAGAAGAATCCCATGAACAATTGTATTAAACATCTCTGCCTCTGGAGACCTTGTACACAGTGACATTGAATTGAGAGGGCTGAAGACAGTCACCATGTCCTCCCCCAGCGCCCCAACTGCTCTGTAGCAGGAGCAGATAAATGGCATCTGTATTAGCTCCTGGACGAAGACTGCAATTCTTCCTCACCAGAATACTGTAGTGAGAAACTGGAAGACATTTGAGGCCTTGCTTAAGAACAAGAATGCAGCAAGAACTAGCAAGACTGGAAGAGACTTGAGTAAGAACCTGGYTCCTGCTCCAGGGACAACTTAGGCATTTCAGATGTGTCCTAATGCAAGCTTTATAAATGGTTTCTGCGTTTTTGGTACACTGACCTTTGGAAAAAAAGATTCATTATTTAAATTAGAACTAAGAAATAYGATGTTAACGGAAGAAACGTGTTTTCCTGCATGCCTGTCTCCTGTTTATTCATCCCAGTGCTTGGTGCAGTGCCCATCCAGGAGGCTGTTCCCTTATCAAGTGATTAAATCAAACCATCCAAACTCTGGCTGCTTTCTGAGCATTAATATTTGCTTAGTCACTAATCAGATCTTCCAAACAAGCTTGAAATTTTTAAGCTTTTTATAATCCAATGTGTAAATCGCAGGTAAACCAACTCTCTGTTTTTACTCCTAGGCCTTTACCCCTGAGCATCTTCAGCAGAGCCTTCCTGCTGCTGCTGGAGTCTCACTGTTGTGGGCTCCACAACGTCTCTCCTCTTAGCATCTCTTCATTGAGAGCCTTCACCTGACTATGAGAACAACTTGGCTGTCTCATTGTTCTCTAACAGACGCTCAAGAGTTGTGTATTTGGGGAAAAACTAAATTTAGGGTGACCATATTGCTAAGTTATTTGAAAAGTCCTTGAAAAGGACTTCTGCATTCTTCACACTAGCTGCCACTTGACTTCTGCAGAAAGAAAAATCTTGTATTGTACGTAAGCTCCCTAGAGCTCTGAGAAGGCTCAAATATCTGCAGATGAGTCCGCTTCAGGGAAGGGGGAAAAAAAAGCCAACTTCATCAGAAAACTGACTCTGAAAGCAGGAGCTGGGGGAGTATTGCCACACACCAGGCCTGGATGGCCTCGGGCAGCAGCAGGCTGCTTCCCTGGAAGAGGCTCTGCCACCTCCGAGGTGCAGGAACGCCTTCCCTGGGCCCGCACTGCCAATTCCACCCTCGTAAACAGCTACTGGAACTTGATTTGCCTGTTGGAGCACAGTGTTTCAGTACTTATTCAAGTAGCAAACTAATTTCATCATCTCCTCTGACAGGGCAAGAGGAGGTAGAAGGATTAGCTTGAACTGAGGATCATATAATAACATGGCAGCTTATACACAGCTAATAATCCACTGGGAGGATTAGCAAACTTACAGTTGTCTAGCTCTGCATAATGGGAAATCAAGAACAGCAACTTCCCTGTTCTACCTTCTGCATTTGCATTCCCTCAAGTGAAGCACAAACATGATGAGACAAGGTTTTCCAGTCTGTTATGAAATGGGAATCTAATCTGTGACTAATGGAGTATTGCTAGTAATTCCACAAGCATCCATTCAGCAAGAAATCTGGATTTAAGCTTTACTATGAGAGTGTATCTTAAATCCCTAGTGCAAAAGATCAGAGCGTGGTTTCGGCAGGCTAACGAGAAACCTGTCATCCGAGGCTCCGTGCGAGTAATGCCCTGTACCGGTGCACGGTGTAGACTGCTGSTGAGTGGAGAACATCCCAGGGTCCTCCTTGTAGGCTCTCTGGCATGATGCATGCGTGACTAGCAAAGGAGTCCAGCACAAAACATGACGGTAGCAAGATGCCAGGAGCAGCTTAATGAGTTYTGAAGGTGCTGCTTTCCTTGCCATGGTCTCTTTCTGCCTATACTCTGAGGTCAGCTTTCAGTATGAGGTAGCTGGAGGTTTTGTCCTATGGGGAGAGCTTTGCATCTGCTAAGTGGAGACCAGAATCAGATGCAGGAGGAGGCAGAGTCTGTACTGACTTAGTAATAAGTAGCTAGAGTAACCAGCTCTATCAACGCCTGCAAAACTAAGGGGGCTGCACTGCCTGAAGACAGGAGCTGCGGCTCCCTGGTCCCCTTTTGGGGCAGCAGCAGCAGTGAGCAACAACCCTTGTGCCAGYGGGCTGCCCGTGGAGCGTGCTGGCCCCCGGCACGGGCTGCTCCYGTGTCAGGGGCACGCGGGGCGGCGCAGGAGACGCTGCGCTAGGGCTTGTGCTGCGCAACGCGGCTCTTCCACTCCCGTGGAGCATTCCAGGCRAACGCCGGCACGCACAAAGGGCGAAAGCTCTCGCAAAACGTGCCCTTGCCAGCGCTGGCAGAGCTTGCAGAACCTTCCTCACTTTTGCAGTGCAAATAGGCACCACCACTCACAATAACGTGGTAGCAGAATACAAGCTTCTGCCAATGGCTTCTTCCAGTATTTCCTCCCTGCTACAACCGGCGCTGCCGACAGTCCATGGGAAAGAACATTAGCACAGACAGGGCCTCTGCATGCAAATGAATGCTGCATAAATAACCCCATCTTCCCTCCAGTCCTAGGTTGTGTACTCTATGCACTAGAATTCTCTTTACAGACCTCCCAGTTCATTCTTTATGCTCTAATTAAGGATCAGTGCCAATTAACTATCGTCAATAGAGGAGCATCTTCCGCTCAGCAGCCAGGAAGTGCCTGAATGASATCCTGCTGTACAATACACACATGGAAAAGGAAGCCCTCCCTCTTTGGAAAGGGCTTCCAAGATTAAAAACCCTGTATAAAATACAGGATGCTTACTTCAAAATATTGTGTGATAAGATTAACTGATGGGCATCTATTAATGCAGGGGGGTTTATTCTATGTTGCATGTAACACCCAAGCATGCTGTTACACTGCCAACACTCAGGATAGGCACTGTGTGTCATCATGGCAATAGCAGGTATGAGAGCAGACTCGCATTTTCTCGGAACTGGTACTAAAATGTTGTTGTTTAATGTTCTGTCAATGTTTTAATTTTACTTACTCAAGGATCAGCAGTCACTTTTGCCACACAATGTCAAGCCAAAAATTTGATTTAGCTCAGAATTTACCGGTAGTTACATTGGCATCTAAACTGCCAGGAGTATTCGCCTATTGCCCTTGCTTCCTCTGGACATTCACCTGTTCCATAAATAACGAGACAATTCAGATTGCTGCACTGTGTCCCGGCCAAGAGAGTGCTACTAGTATGAGTGGGCTGGAGCAGGAGAATCTCATTTCTGTGCTTGGTTGGAACTGAATACATCAGCTCCCCAGCTGGTTACAGATAAAGTTTAAAAAACACTATTCTACATGAAAATTAGATGCTTAAACATGTTGGGGGTGGGTGGGATAATCTCATCAAAGCTTTACACAGACAATTCTCAAACCTGCTGCAGTTCACACGAGACATATGAACAATCTCAAAATTAAGACCCCTGCAAAACTTCAGCCAGGCGCAGCAGCCGCACTGCCTTTTGGGGTAGAGATACTTGAATTGCATGTACGGAAAACAGATTCGTTAGTTGCGCTGCTAATCACAGCTAAATCTGGTGATCATTCATAGACTGTTTGAAGAATAAAGGCTAAAGGAAGAAGAGTGGGGACTTGCTGATGAGAAACAGGAACTGAGGACTGCATGGAGGATGGGGTAAAAGCAAGCAAATTGTTCCATGAATCCACAAAGTCTAATCCAATAGGATTATTATCCCTCCTATCTGCTAGCCAGTGATATTTCAATGTGMGTAATAATGGGATATATTTGGAGCCAGTCAATGAATTCAAGAGCTTTTGTGGGGCACATTGTGCATGTCTCATCTTTCACAGAAATAAAACAGGCTAAATAAGGCTGCTAAGGTTCCAGGAGAATCCCTGTACCTTCTTGGCAGAAGCTAGGGCTCTCTCTTCAAGCTTTGCTGACTGATCCCTTTGCAAAGAACAAGGGACGAGTCAATCCTTGCATGCCTTGGGAATTTCTAGAAAAGCATGTTCCAATCCTGACAGCTGAGATCTGAGCTCCCACAGGAAGGGTGAGGGGAAAAGCCTGAAGAACACACTGCAAGGAGATTGCTCCAGTGAATACAGCCTCCTATTCCACACGGGATTCATGGGACTCTACTGAACTTACCCGGATCCTCCTCATGGCTGCCACAATCTCCACACGGCTGTTGGGCCTTGGAACATCCAAGCTACCGATGTACTGAAAGACACAACAGTGAGGTACATGTAAAGCAGTGCACAAGCTAACGGTGCAGGCTTCTTCGAAACAAACTGCATCCCTCTGCTCGGTTAAAGCCCCCTGCCACAGGGAAACAGGAGTGTCTGCTGTGGATTAATACATCAAAGTTAGAGATCTATTAATGGACTTCTAACTTCAGGTGTGAGTCTCTGACATTAGATTCTTCATGTGCCTTTAAAATTACTGGACAAACAGCTATTAAATTCACTGTATTTTCTACGGAAATGTTCTAGTTCACTGCTTTCTGCAGGACTTGCTGGTCCCAGCGCTCTGTGGGGCAATGCCAGTTATTGATCGAATCGTGGTGCTGCAGGCCTGCAAATGGGACTGTCCATCTTTGTCATTTTGCTACACTTGGCTCCGAGCTGAAGGTACACAAGGAGAGGGACGGTTGCCAGGATGTGCAACAACTGCCCTTGCTGGGAAAGGTTCAATCTCTTCATGTGCCTGGCCTAACTCTTCAGTCTGCACCATCCTTTGCTCCAGTCAGCCCAGYTGAACTGCCTGCAGACTCCCAGTAAACAATCTGTATCAGACCCCAAATCTGTATCTTTTACCAGCTRTTTTGAGCTGCCCCCAGGAAAGCTGCAGTCCTGAGCAAGGTGCCTCACTGAGCTCACCAACATGAAGGCTGCTGCCTTTGGCACACAGTGTCTGCACGGAGCGTAAACATCAGTCTTTCTAGCAAAGGTAGCAGCTCCTCTTCGGGAGCCGAGACCCGAGGCAGACGGCAGCTGCCAGGCTCCCGGCACCTCCGCCTCTACCAGTTTACAACACCTACAACTTTCTGCAACTTGGTCGCCTGTTCTCTCGTATGTAGTGTTGATGTGAGGTTGGTGCCACATGGGTTTGTCGGGGAACACCTGTGGGCAGACAGCTCCGGGCTTCTGGCATTCTTCGCTCTGTGCAGACTGTACTCCTCGTTTATGCCCAGTTTTAAGGCTCCTCTGCCAACGCAGACAACTGAGGTTAAGCATGYGCTGGTAGGAAGAGCTCTGTGCCAGGAGAATCCTGCCGCAGCACAGCGGGTACGTGGGGTGCAGACGAACAGCAGGGCTGCCCACGCGGCTGCCAGCCTGGCCCCGGGGTGGGCAAAACGGGCAGTCCCGCTGAGCGCGGTGCCGCTGCGCGCTGGAAGCGGCGCGGATCACAGCGGTCCGAGCAAGGGCCCTGCGTGTCCGGGCCGTGCTGCCATCGTCTCCGTGAGTGCAGGGAGGCAGGGGGTTCCTCGGGCAGTGTGGATGCCCTCTGCATCCCTCCCAGGGAGTGTGGCAGTGAAGGGAGGGTTTGGGATTGGGATGGCCTTTCCTATRTGGTGGCAGGAATATCTTCCCAGCACTGTCCGTTAGTTCCCTCCTTGAAACCTGTGGCCCACCTCAGCACAGCTGGAGCAGGAGGACTAGTGGGGACAGTTTGCAAAACTTAAGCCTTTTCCATAAGGCCATCAGGTTCATTAGTAATGTTTGGGTTTTGAATGTGTGGTTTGGGGCTTTACGAAGGTTGCACTCCTATGAAAATGTGAGGAGGAGGAAGTGAGGTATCTAGTTAGGATACCCCTTCAAATACACAAAAATACTTCCAGGAGAAGCTCCATAGCTACTGCTGTTACCAATACAGTCTTTAAATTTCTCTGTGCTCACGCTTGCAACTCGCAGGATCACGTGTCTTGCAATAGGTTTTATTTTGAAAACTTCAACTTAATAGGACTTTTCAGAGATAAATTCTCCCGGCTCTGCATTTACTGCTCTTTTATCTGCCTTGAAATAAACACAGCAAGCAATCTGAATGGTCACCTGCTTTTCCTGATGCATCTATAAATGTCTGTGTAACATGGCATTTTTAAGAATTGTAACTTCAGCTCTACCCTTTCGGTAAAAACCACAGGAGAGCCAAACCCCTCGGGCCACAAGAGCTTGAGGGCAGCAGGGAAGGAAGAAATGGAGTGAGGGCTTCCCTCTGCCCTCCCTGCCAAGGGCACAGCAGTATCGCTGGAGAGCAGTGGCCTCTTTGGTTTGGAAGCATCTTGCTCCCAGCCCTGAAGTGTCTGTCAGTGCAATTGTGTGTAGTTCAGACCAGCTCAGTGCACTGGGCTGGCTTTTTATCTGTGAACAACAGAGCTGAACTGGGCAACAATCCACAGGGTAAGAGATGAATTAATAGGTAGGGGCAGGAAGAGAGCTGGTGACAGAGGGGCCTGGAGCATCTGCCCTACGAGGAAAGGCTGAGAGCGCTGGGCCTGTTCAGCCTGGAGAAGAGAAGGCTGAGGGGGGGATCTGATCAGTGCATGTAAATACCTCAAGGGAGAGAGTGAGGAGGAGGGGGCGGCCTCTTTTCGGTGGTGGTCACTGATAGGACTAGAGGGAATGGCCACAAACTGAAGCACCAGAAGTTCCACAGGAACTTAAGGAAAAATTTATTGACAGARTGGGTGACAGAGCCCTGGAACAGGCTGCCAAGAGAGGCTGTGGAGTCTCCTTCTCTGGAGATCTTCAAAGCCCACTTGGACACAATCCTGTGCCCTGTGCTCTAGGTGACCCTCCATGTGCAGGGGGTTGGACTGGATGATCTCTAAAGGTCCCATCTAACCTTAACAATTTTATGATTCTATGACAGAAAATGCCCAAAAGCAAAGAATCAAATTCTGCCTCATCTTTACAACCAAATTTGGGTATCTGTGTGCCTATATAGCAGGGCTCACTATACTCTACCCAAACAGAAGAACCACAGGGGACTTGTGGCATTAAGCTCTTAATTTAAAGGCATTAAAGCTCATCCCTGGAGATGACAGGGCAAGTAAAAGAGTTTGTATGCACAGATTATAGGCTGAACATCATCAGTAAGAGTGCCTGGTGCAAGACCCTGGGTAGCTGGGGAGCAGCCTCGTCACTTTGRGCTGCAGGTAGACTGAGGTACCCGCAAGCACTTCAGTTAGGAGAGACAGACGCTGGAGCAGAACTGAGCTAGCATGTTACTAAGGTAATGCAAACTCCAGCTTCGACCCACACATCTTCCCGCATGTTATCCTGTCTCTGAATAGCACTGTATTCCTAAAGCTGTCAATCTCGAGAAGCCCGTTTTACCCACGTAGAAGTACAGTTATTTCACTTCTGAAAGTGAAAATAAGGGTTTTTCTTCTCAACATAATCTTCTGCATAGCAAATGTTAATTTTTTCTTAAGCAATTCAAAGATTGCTTTTCTCCCCTAAGGAGAAAGACCAGATTTTTAAAATAGGTGATTAACTCTCTACATAGATCTCTATGCTGTTTAAATCTTGCATCTCCTTTAGCAAGAAGATTGAAATGTACAAAATCCATATTTTAAAGCTTCATTTAAATATACGCCCTTTCTTTACACCTCAGGAGGCAGCAGGCATGAATTCCATTTTAATCTGTGTTAGGCCACCTGCAAAGGGGAGGGGGTGGAAGCCTAGAGTTACTCCAGCAAACCACAATTCTTCTTGTCAGCTGAATTATAAACTCATTCCATGCGCTGTCTACAGAGCGTCAGCTGCAATGGAGTCCCACACTCAAAAAAGTCACGTTGTGAAGCCAGACCATCCCTCACGATCGGTGCGAGATCTCTGGCAGTATTGGGATTTCCTTCCGGCACCTCAGCCTGGCAATTAAGACCTTTCCCGTGTAGCATTTCACACTGTGAACAGGTCAGCTGGAACGAGGCACTAAAGTGGTTTTAAGCCCRTAACAGCCGCCGGTTTGCAGGGGAATGCTGCGAGCTGTCCCGTTTGGTGGTGCAGGTGATGGATGACAAGCGGAGCAGGGTTACAGGGGTGGCACAATGTGCTCCGGACAAGGGGGGGGTCTTTGCGGATCAGTTCTCAAAGGAAAGGCACAAGAAGGTTTCCTGAGCATTAAGGATCAGGGGAAAGAAATATGCTAGAAAAAAAAAAATAACAACAAAAAACCACAACTTGTTTGATTGTGATGGCAAGTAGGCAGCTTTTACCATTTATTAGCATTTTTCTTCAGCTTCCCTTTGCTTGGAGGTGGCAGCGAGGTGCACAGGGGCCACGGGGGATGTTTTGGGAGGATAAGCACATCCCAATCAGCTCAGACACCATCACTCCCCATCTTCCCTTCAGCCAGTGCTCTGGGCAGAGGGGGAGCCCCAAACCTCCAGCCCCTCATGGGAGCCCTGTTGATCGTGGGGGCTCCGGGAGGCAGTGGGGCCCGTGACCCCCCTCCCAAGCCCTCATTTCGGRGTCCACCTGTGGGGCTGGACAAGGGGGGTCGCGGTGTGAGGCCGGGGGGCTGCGCCAGGCCGGGCTCTTCCCGCGCGCTCCCCCGCCATGGMGGCCGCGGGGAGCGGGCTGGGGGACGCGACGCGGCCGGGGCGCCCCCGTCGCCGCCGCTCACCTTGGCCTGGAAGTGGATGCCGTGCTGGAAGGCTTCCTCGTTGTGCAGCGGCACGCGGGAGTCGCAGCCATCGTCCACCAGGTTGTAGCGGTTCTTCACCGGCATCGCGGCCAGCCGCCTCCGTCAGGGCGCGGCCAGCCGCCTC